GATCGACTTTATTAAAACTATAAAACTACACTTTAGTTCTAGTTAATATAAGATTTTGAATTTTAACTCTGGAGAATCCATTTTACATATTAGCAAAACAAATATAATATTCTTAAATTATTATTAACTGGTAAATTATATGATTTATTATTTTTGTTTAAGTTTTATATATTTTTATCGTATTTAAAAAATATAATATTTGTTCACTTTCATTCTTATTTAATTACGATTTGGTTATTTTTATTTAATTAATATGTGGTCAATATGGGTTAACTGTTTTAAGACCTTTAACAGATTGTTAACATGGCACAATAAATTTATGAAATTAAAAAGGGTAAACTACACAATGATCACCAATATTTGAGTAAGTTTTCGATTTTCCCATTGGTGTTTTAAAAATAACATATTGATCACTAAAACATCAAATAAACCATTGAACAATGATTTTATATCTAATATACTCCATAAACTTTGTAAATTTTGTTTAGCATTAGAAATATTCGGTTGTTTCATGTCCAAAAAAGTTAATTTTTAAAATTTAAAGTGTGTGTGTATATATATAATTGGAAAATTTTGAAAGCTTTTGTGGTAAATTAGATATAAAATAATTGTTTAATGAACTTTTTGATGTTTTAGTGGCCAATTTGTTACTTTGAAACTTTATTGGGAAAAACGAAAACTTATTCAAACATTAGTGACCATTTATGTAGTTTACCCTTTTTAATGTTATAAATTCATTGTGACATGTCAACAATCTGTTAAATGTCCATAAATGTCCAGCGACATTTAATTCTCAATGACCACATCTTAATTAAATAAAAAAAATATCAAATACTATATTTTTAAATTCAATAAAAAATAAGTTAAATTATATACAACTTAAACGAAAGTGATCAATCGTGTAATTCTTGATCTAATCATAATTTAGTTTCTCCACTATATTTATTTATTTATTTGAAATATTTTTTTCATTTTCATTTTATATAATTTATTTCAAATTGATAACTTTTTTTTTATTAATATGAGGTAAGTACGAGGTAATATTTGCTCAATATAACTCTCAACATTTTGATATTGAACGCTTACACCCCTAATATATATGGTGCTCGAACCTGAAACCTTAAAAAATAACAACAATTCATTTACCACGGAGATCACTTGGTTCGTGCAAAAAATTAATAACTTGTTAGTCGTTATTGTTAGTCGTGCCACTTAACGGTATTTTTAACGATAAGTACCTAAAAGTGTAACAGAGAAAACATTAGACACATATTTTTAACGAAAAATCTTTAAGCACCGAAAGTCAATTTTAAGTATAGTTTAGACACTTATTTTTATATTAAGCCTAAAAATTGACATTATATATATATATATTTAAAAGGCTTATATCACAAATAAGTATATTGAGTATATTATATTTTCATTTAAATACCTAAAGTATTCTTTTGGTCAAAATAAATATCTAAAATTATCTTTTTAGTCAAAATAGGTACTTAAGTATTTTATGTCAAAATAGGTACCTAAACTATTCAAACTTTTTTATCTAAGTTCTAAAAAAAGTTGACATGTGACGTTAATTAAAGAATACTTTAGGTACTTCGATGTAAATAATTGAATACTTTAGGTACCTATTTTGACCAAAAACTATTTTAGGTACTTATTTGACAAAAAAAATATTTTAAGTACTTGAATGAAAAAGATTTTATACTTTAGGTACTTATTTGTTATATAAACCTTTTGAAAAGAAGATAATGACCATAATAAATCTTAGCCAAAGGAGTAGTTCTTAAAAGAGTTCAAAATAACGAGCAAGTGTTTTTTTTCTATATGGTTCCAAGACTTCGTTTTAACTATTCCAGACCGATCCGTGTCATACATTTAGTTTTGGTGAGTGAGTATTCAACAAATTTTATGCATACACAATGATTCAAACTCGAAACATTGCTTAAACAATATTAAGCTGCTTACTAGGGGTGTTCAAAATCTCGGTTAACCGATTAAACCGACTGAACAAAAAAAATCAGTTAATTGATCGGTTAATTTTAGGTTCGGTTGGTTAATGGTTAATGATTTTTTCAAAGTTCGATTATCGTCTAATTTGGTTCGAAATCGGTTAATTAACCGAAACGTTTAAATTTTATTTATATTATTTATATACTAATAGTTTTAGGAGTATTTAAATTTCAATTTTAATCGAATTAATCATTCGAATTAACCGAATTAGTTGAAAAAATTAAATAATTAATATATTATTTAAAATTTCGGTTAACTGACCGATTAACAGAACTTTGTTCGGTTCGATTAATTATTTTCAAAAAAGTTTCGGTTTGGTTAACGATTAAAGTGAAAAAAAAGTCAGTTAATCGATAGATTAACCGAACTTTTTTTTGTTCGATTATTTTTTTTGAAAAAAATTTGATTTAATTAACAATTGATGAATAATCACGATGATTCCGAGAAGAAATCATTTACTAATGATATTAACTAAATATATGTTTTTTATATATAAAAAATACCCCAACATTTGCGAGTAATCAACGCTAGTCCAAGTAAAAAAAATTCCCATTATAAATTTGTTCTTTTCTCTCCCTATATATAATTTCTTTGCCTTGTTAATTATCTTTCATTCCTCATTCATTTTTTTCCTCAGTTCTTCCTCTCTTTTTATCATCAATGAATTCTAATCTTAAGTCGTCGATGCCGATGGCGATTTCGGTGTTGTTAACGTTGTTGAGCTTGCACGGCCGGACAGACGCGAAGTCTGAAGTGCCCTGCTTCTTTATTTTCGGGGATTCGATTTCAGATAACGGAAACAATAATAACCTTAAGACATTGGCCAAAGTAAATTATCCACCGTACGGGAATGATTTTCCTTTGGGACCGACCGGAAGGTTTACCAATGGCCGAAACCTACAAGATTTTATCGGTTTGCCCTTCGCTCGTTTCCGTTTACACGTTTAATCGAAGTTTATGCATGATTGTTTATCAATATTTTACTATCTCGTTTAAAATTGATGTTACGTTTATGTATGTATGTTACATATAGTCGAGCTTTTGGGGTTCAAAATTATATACCTTCTTTTTCCGACGTAAAAGTGACGAGAAAAGACGTCCTCAAAGGTGTGAATTATGCATCCGGTTCCGCAGGCATTCTCGACGAAACCGGAAATATAACGTGGTAATTTCGAAAGTCGTTCCTGATTAGATATTTGTATTCACATGTTTCGATTAATTACATAATTAATCGAAACACGTGTTTCGTTTTATATAGATTCTATTTCAATTTATATGTGTATCGTGTTCGTGTTTGTTTATATATTGTCTTTCGGCACACTTTTAATGTCGTGTATAGGGTGGTCGGATACCATTGAACCAGCAGATCATTCAAAATCACATAATTATAATCCAAGGCATAACCAAGGAAATGCGAAACGATCTCCCGGCGGTGAAAAAACATCTGAACAAATGCATTTATTCGATTCAAGTCGGAAGCAATGACTACATCAACAATTATTTCATACCGAAGTTTTACGACACGAGCCGACGCTATAGTCTATCAGGGTTTACCGACTTGCTCATTCAACAACTTTCGAACCAAATTAAGGTAATCAGTACTTATTTTATATCAATTTGCATGGTTACAGAATCCTAATCGATCGGTTGAATCGGTTAAAATTGAGAAATTGAACCCTAATCGGTTCGACTTCCGCTTAGATTTTTTCGACCTGGATAACCTAACTCTCAGATATACTACCAGGTTTTGTACGATAACAGTGCGAGGAAGTTTGCCGTGTACGGACTACCGCCGATTGGTTGCACCCCGAACGCGATTTCGCTGTATGGGACCACCAACGGGTCACCTTGTGTAGACAAGTTGAACCAGGCTGCAGTCCTCTTCAATGAGAAGCTCACGGCACTCGTATACCAACTAAACAACAATCTAACCCATGCTAAATTTACCTATCTGAATCCTCCCGGATCTCCGATCGATCCCGCCGAAATCGGTAAACAAACCCTTTCTTTGTTTCTGGTATTATCATCACGATTAGGCTTGTTCGTGGACCGAACATACGATTGAAAAACTAATTACGGTGCTGTCGTGGACGTTTAGTGAAAAACGGTACGTGCTGCAAAACTGGAGGCGGCGCGGGAGAACTTTGTATTCGGAATTCGAAGCCGTGTAGTAACCCGAAGAAGCACATATTTTGGGACGGCGTCCATCTGACGGAGGATCAAATGCAGGTCATGGCCAACAATGCTTATAGCTGCAGCTCTCCTCTCTGTGCTAATCCATTTAACCTTCATAAATTAGCAATGCTTTGATATAATAATAATCATTTAAATTCAGGGGTCGATTTAGTATTATTTCGTATAATTTCTAATGAGATATTAGTTTAATGATACGGTTATTGTTTTAGGAACTTTGTGTTTTATTTGTATGTATTCTGATCTAGATCCGAATATATTTTGATTACCGGTTTGATCTGATGTAAATGATTAATTCTAATTTTGAAAAAATACCTCGAAAGTTTTGGTATTAAAACGATCAAAACTGATAATTTAGGTATTAAACACGTAATTTACCCAAAACAAAACAAAACATATTAATAGCCATTATCTACCATTTCAATTTCAAATATATAACAAAACCATGACAAATTCATCTAATGTCCACTGATATAACAATTGGAAAATTTTATAAGTTACTCCTTAAACTTTTAATTTATCTTTTGTATTATTTTCGATTTGATCTTTATACTTTCATTTATTACTTTTCGGTTTTTAATTTAATCCTTAATTGAACCCGGAGTAGGCTCAACCCAAGAACAAACTCATCGAGAATGACGACTAACATGAACTGAGCGAGCAACACTTGATCAAATAAAGCTATATCGAAAATAGATTTAAATGTTTCTGGCCGTCGGTTCTTACACCAGAAACTAATTCTCGACAAAGCCATATCGAACAATTGATTCTCATCTAATATTTTATTGTTGAATATGATTTCGTTGCGGAACAACCATATCGACCAGATTACAGATTATACCGAAAAACGCATCTCCATAGTCATTTATTGAGCATTGCTTTTGAATTGAGATCAACAAGACCAGGACCCCCCAACGGCAGGGGGCTTTCGAAGAGTCTCCCAACTAATCCAGTGGATCGATTTGTCCGACGAAGAGCTCCATAGAAGCGAGCTATCATCTTGTTCAATTTAGAGCTAATGGATTTTGGCAATTGGAATATGGAGATGTAGTATATCGAAAGTTTTGCTAAGACGGACTTTACCAGAGTCAACCTTTCTCCAAAAGAGAGGATTTTGGATTTTAAGCAATCGAAGCTGGTGGCGATCTCGGTGTTATTAGCATTATCGAGTTTGCAAAACTGGGAAAATGCAAAGCACGCAAACTCGACAGCCCCAAAGCCCAAGGTGACATGCTACTTCATATTCGGTGACTCGATTTCTGATAATGGAAACAATAATAACCTTAAAACATTGACCAATGTGAACTATCCACCATATGGGGTTGATTCCCCCGGAGGACCAACCGGAAGGTTTACCAATGGCCGAACCCTACAAAATTTTATTGGTTTGTTCTTCACTTGTCTCCGTTTACATATCTAATCAAAGTTCATGTATGATTATTATTCATTTATGTATGTATTTGTGCATGTATATGACGATAGTTGAGCCTTTGGGATTTTACATTATAAGCCTCCTTTTGCCCAAGCAATGGGGAAAGGAAAAGAAATGCTTAACGGTGTGAACTATGCGTCCGGTCCAGCGGGCATTCTTGACGAAACCGGAAAAATATAATGTGGTAATACTTGAGGAAGTTCGCCGTGTTCAGAGTACCCCCCATCGGTTGCACCCCGAATGCGATTTCGTTGTATGGAACCAATGGGTCGCCTTGTGTAGACATCCTGAACCAGGCTGCAGTCCTTTTCAATGAAAAACTCCAAAAACTCATCCGTGAACTTAACAAAAGTCTAATCCAAGCTAAATTTACCTATCTTAATCCGCCTGGAGCTCCGGTCGATATCGGGGAAATCGGTAAACAACCCACGTTTTGCCTCTCGTATAATCGTTACAATTACACTCGCTCACGGATCGAATCACTATGACACGATCGAAAAAACTAATTAAGGTGTTGTGTGTGCATTTAGTGAAAATGGGTGCATGCTGCAAAACCGGAGGCGGGGCGGGAGAACTTTGTATTCGGAATTCGAAGGCATGTAGTGACCCAAAGAAGCACATATTTTGGGATGGTGTCCATATTACCAAGTATCAAACGGAGATCATGGCCAAAAATGCTTATAGCTCCAACTCTACTCTTTGTGCTTCTCCATTCAACATTCAGAAATTAGCAATGCTTTGATATAATAATCATAATTTTTATTCGGAGATCAGTTTAGCATCGTTTCGTATAATTATCGATGAGGTTTTAGTTTAACGATAAGGTTATCGTCGTAGGAGTTTTAAGATTCGGTATTCGGATTTCATCCTGTGAAAATCATGTCTGAGTTTTCTCTAAACTTATTTTAGCTCAAGTATTGCAATATGTTGATCTTGTTCATATCTATTCTTGATTTATAAACTTAGCCTTGATTTCTTGATTATTCTAATGCGATCCATACTTTGCAATTACTTAACAAATTTAGCTTAAATTTCCTGATTCATGCAATTTAGTCTTAATTTGTTTCCTTTACTTGGTATTATTTTTTTGGATTTATTAGTCATCATCATTAGAAGTGCTATTAACCATGTTTGTTCAGCCTTCAGACAAAACACCCCTTTTAGGTACTAATTTTGGGCACGGTGATGGTGTTTCAACCTTGTTCATTTGCAATCGACTCTCGAATCCGATCATGATCTCGGTGAAGATGCGGACCAAACTTAAGGGTGTTGGGTCGTACCCAGCAAAAACAACCTCCGACGACTCTAACCACGTGATGAGCTCTTGAATCCAAATAATATAATCTATAGCTTGCTCATTATAGCAAATTAATTATGGTTGGGACATATTACATAGAAATTACAACCACAAATTATAATAACGTTGCTAAATTTAACAGCAAAAATTGGGTGCTGAAGTCTTTTTTTTTTTTCTTGTGGTGGATCCCAATTTATAGTTTCTTTGCTTTGTTAATTGTCATTAAAATCCATTCATCATTGGATACTGGCACAATGAGCTCGGTCCAACCTGAATTTCGAATATATGATCCAGAATTCTTATTATTGCATATAACGATATAACTTCTGATGTGTCCTGCAGGGTGCTCGGGTACCTTTCAATGAGCAGATACAAAATCACAAAATTATAATCTCGAGGATTACAGCTTTAATGCGAAATGATTCAGCGACAAAATCTCATCTAAGCCGATGCATTTACTCGGTTCAAATTGGAAGCAATGGCCACATCAACAACTATTTCAAGTCAACATTGTACCACTCTGGCCGACGCTACACTCTGTTGGAATTTTCTAATGTACTCGTTCAGCAACTCTCGGTACAACTTAAGGTAATAATCAACATTTAAACATTTAATATATGCACGTATTGAAAAATAAGCATTAACCAATTGCTTCATGTACTATACCGGTGCAAGAAAGTTCACCGTGTACGGGGTGGGGATGATCGGTTGCACTCCGGATGCACTCTCGGTGTTCAGAGCCGATGGATTGCCTTGTGTACAGAAATTAAATGATGGTGCAACCCCTTTTAATGAAAAACTCAAGCCACTGCTCAACGAACTCAACCGCAACCTAACCAATGCTGATTTTACCGATCTCATTCCTTCCGGAAATCCGACCGGTCTCGGTAAACATCACTAGCTTTGCCTCTAGTGTGAGTTCGATTATCGGATCGATGATTTAATTAATTTTTTTTGAATTTCGGTCGTATGTTGTTTGTGGTATTCAGTGACGAATAGTTCATGTTGCCAAACCGGGGCTGGTGACGGCGAGCTTTGTCTTCCCAGTTCGAAGCCCTGCAGTAACCCAAGGCAGTACATATTTTGGAACGGTGTCCATCCGACCGAGGCTTGGAATGAGATGGTCGTGAAAAGTGCTTACGATTCCGAGAAACCCGGGGAAGCTCATCCGTTTAACATTCGTAAATTAGCAATGCAGCCGTGCCCTCAGGCTTTGAGATCATGAGATGCATCAATGAGAAAGGGGATTAAGTAAAGTAATATTCGTATTGTTGTTCATGTTGTTGTGTTTAAAGTATTAAATAATACAATTCCCCAAGTGTCATAATACTCTATTTTCGGGATTATTTGATTTTTTAACCGTCATTAAATTGGTCCCTAAACTATTTTTCAGATCTTATTTTCAGTCATATATTTTTGAGTTAATTGCGCGCACGTCCTCAAATCAAGACTCATATTCTAAATTACTCCCTAATCTTTGAAATATTCCAATTTCATCCCTAAACTACGACTTGTCATTCTAAGTCAATCCTCAAATTTTTGAACATTTCATTTTCATCATCAGACTTCCAAATAGGTCCCTAAACATTTTGAACATTTCATTTTCATCCCGAACCATACCTTTCAGATCGACTGTGTAAAGTCTGTTTAGATGGTCGTTTACGTGTAATTAGTTTGTCTTCCCCCAATCGGGTAGTACTTTTCCCCTCACTTAGGGTTAGGGGAACTTTAATGAGGCTCTCGATTGGGGTTAAATCCATTTTCAAAAAAAAAATTCCTTGTTGTCAAGCAAAAAAAAAGGTATATTATTATATGTTTGAACAAAAATAAAATTTAGGTTAAACTGTGCTTGAAACTAATTGCATATTTGGATGGATTTACGAATGAAATGGAAAGATTCAAAAGTTTGGGGGTCAATTTAGAATGAAGGTCATACTTTGGGGAAAATTGAAATATTCAAAAGTTTGAGGACTAATTTACAATGAAAGTGATAATTTGGCGATTAAATTAAAATATTGAAGTATAAGGATTAATTTAAAACGAAGATCATAGTTTAGAGACATATAATGCAAATAACTCATATTATTTATATATTATAATTTCATCCCTAAAATATGACTATCATTCTAAGTTAATCCTCAAATTTTTTATCATTTCATTTTCATCATCAAACTACAATCTTCGCTCTAAATTGATCCCTAAACCTTTTGAACATTTCAATTTCATCCCAAACTATACATATATACTTATCACATTCGTTATTAATAAATCGTTAGGTTGAGTTATATCATTATATGTTTGAACAAAAATAAAATTTTGGTTAAACTATGCTTGAAACTGATTACATATTTGGATGACTCTGGAGATGAAATGGAAAGATTCAAAAGTTTGGAGACCGGTTTAGAATGAATGCCATAGTTTGGCGATGAAATTGAAATATTCAAAAGTTTAAGGACTAATTTAAAATGAAAGTCATAGTTTGGTGATGAAATTGAAATATTTAATGATTAAAGGTTAATTTAAAATGAAGATCATAGTTTAGAGACATGCAATGCAAATAACTCATATTTTTAGGGGTAAATTACATCAATCATCACTGAACCTTACTATCTCTCATATTTCACTTACTGTACTTTTAACCCGTTCAATTTTCTCGCTAAACTTAATACATTTGGTTTTTTTGGCCACTCGACCGTTAAATAGTTAACAATGTTAAAATGATGTCATTTTAGAAAAAAACATTTTTTTTACCAAAATGACGCTATTTTGCATCTATATAACAACCAATTTATAATGTCGTTAGTGAAAAAATGGCGGAGTGACAAAAAAACAAATGTATTAAGTTTAGTGAAGAAATTGAATAGATTTAAAGTATAATAAATGAAATAGGAGAGAGAGTAAAGTTCAGTGATGATTGGTATAATTTATCCTTTTTTAGTTATGAGCTTGCACGCATCCTTAATAGGTATTTAAAAATCGTGCACAGACAAGTTCTCCACTTGATTAGAATTTTGAATCGAACTCATTCACAACGCATGAATTTGATAGATATATTTAAATTTTTCGAGACCGACATGAACCGAGCAACCTTAGAGATAAAGTATTTGATCGATAATCTCATTATCTCGGTGATTAAATAATATCTGCACTTGCTTCTCCCTATATAGTTTCTTTGTTTAATTTGTTATTTATCTTCCATCTTAATACTTCCTTAACTCATCCATTTCCCCCCCCCCCCATGGAATCTAAGCTTAATCCACTAGAGCTGGTGGCGATTTTAGTGTTGTTTGCACTGTAGAGCTTGCCGAACAAGGCGAATGCAGAGACCAAAGTGCCATGCTACTTTCTATTTGGGGACTCGTTATCGGATAACGGGAACAATAATAACCTCGAAACATTGGCCAAAGTAAACTATCCACCGTATGGGATTGATTTCCCCCAAGGGCCAACCGGAAGGTTTAGTAACGGCCGAAACATACAATATTTTATTGGTATGAGATTCCCCCCCATTTCTTTATATATGCAAATTTTACGATTTTATGTTAGTATTACGGTCAGGGATGAAGTTAAAAAAATTTCGTGACGATAGTTAAACATCTCGATTCGAAGATTATATGCCTCCTTTTGCCAAATCGGGACGAACCAATGTCGGAACTATGCGTCGGGTTCTGTCGGCATTCTTGTCAAAAGCGGGGGAAATCTGGTAAATTCGGAAAGCCGTTCATTGTTGGATACAACTATGCACTAATTTGATTCGAATCGAACCATAAACACCTAAAATATAACCCAACCCTTGAACATATTCTTGTGCAGGGTGTTCGGATACCTCTCAGCCAGCAGATAAAAAATCACATGCTTCTAAGCCAATGCATTTACTTGGTTCAAATCGGAAGCAACGACTACCTCAACAATTATTTCAACCTCGAATTTTACAACAACGGCCGATGGTACACTCCGCCGGAATATGCTACGCTGCTCATTCAACAACTTTCGGTCCAACTTAAGGTGATTAGCATTAAGCTTTCTACTGTTTTTTTTTTCTGATTAAACGAGACTAATCAAAGGGATTAAATGCCAGGATTTGTACGATAATGGTGCAAGGAAGTTTGCCGTGTACGGAATAGAGGAGATCGGTTGCACTCCGTTCGTGATTTCGGTGTACGGAACCAATGGGTCAGATTGTGTAGTGAAATTAAACGAGGGTGCGACCCTTTTCAACGATAGGCTCAAGCCACTGGTCAATCAACTTAATAAGAACCTGACCGATGCTAAATTTACCTATCTTAATCCTTCCGGAAGTCCGGCTGGTCTCGGTAAACATCTCTAGTTTTGCCTTTTGTGTGAAGTCAGATATTTGTAGATATTAACGAATGTGAATTATTAACTCTAGAACCGGATGAATCGAGGGGTGTGAGGTCGGTCGCATCCTAAAAATTTCAAATTCATATATAATTTTAATATTAGTATGTGAATGACAAACTAATTAAACGTGGTTTTTGTATTTTGGTTGCATGTTATTGGAACATTTAATGACAAATGGCCCCTGTTGCAAAATCGGAGGAGGTAGCGGGGAGCTTTGCCTTCGTGATTCCGAGACGTGCAATAAGCCGAGGTGATACGTGTTTTGGGACGGTTTCCATCCGGCTGAGGCTTGGAATCAGATCATCGCCGAAAGTGCTTATGGCTCCAAGTCCATCCTTGAAGTTTCTCCGCTTAACATTCAGCAATTAGAAATAAAACTTTATAACGACGAGGACGAGGACACAAGTAGTGTATGCAAGTGTTGTTTTAGCACGAGTTTGGAAGGTGTTTATAAGCTCGAACCAATTCATTAATACGAAATAAATACTTGGATTATTAATAAATAAAGATGTAGTTTTTAGTCCTCAAAAAAATGTAAATTTTATTGCTTTAAACACATAACAATACAAACGACAGTACAAATATTTCTCTACTTTATCCCCTTTCTCATTGTTTAATCGGCAATGATTGAACTACCCTCTCAAATTTACATTTGATGCATCTCAAAGCTTTAGCATGGATGCATTGCTAGTTTACGAATGTTAAATGGATGAGCTTCTTCGGGTTTCTCGGAGTCGTAAGCACTTTTCGCCAGCATCTCATTCCAAACGTCGCTCGGATGGACACCGTCCCAAAATAAGTACTGCCTTGGGTTACGACATGGCTTCGAATTGGGACGGCAAAGCTCTCTGTCACCGCCCCCCCGGTTTGGCAGCATGAAATGTTTTTCACTGAATGCCACGAACAACATGCAACCGAAACCGGAAACATGTTAATTAAATCATCGACCCTGTAACCAAATTCATACTAGAGGCAAAGGTAGTGATGTTTACCCAGACCGGCCAGATTTCCGGAAGGATTAAGATAAGTGAATTTGGCGTCAGTTAGATTGCGGCTGAGTTCATCGATCAGTGGTTTGAGTTTTTCATTAAAAGGGGTTACGCCATCATTTAATTTCCGTATACAAGGCATCCCATTGTCTCTGTACACCGAGAGTGCATCCGGAGTGCAACCGATCAGCCCCAGCCCGTACACGGCGAACTTTCTTGCACCGGTATCGTGCAAAGTCTGGTATAGTACATGAAGCAATTGGTTAATGCTTAAATTTCAATACATGAATATATTAAATGTTTAAATGTTGATTACCTTAAGTTGAACAGAGAGTTGCTTAATGAGTATATTAGCAAATTCCTGCAGAGTGAAGAGCCGGCTGGAGTGGTACGTCACCGACTTGAAATAGTTGTTGAGGTAATCATTGCTTCCGATTTGAACCGAGTAAATGCATCGGCTTAGATGCGATTTCGTCGCCGAATCATTTCGCATTAAAGCTGTAATTCTCGAGATTATAGTTTTGTGATTTTTTTTATCTGCTCATTGAAAGGTACCCGAGCACCCTGCAGGACACCGGAAGTTATATCGTTATATGCAATAATAAGAATGTCGAATCATATGTTCGAAACTCGAGTTGGACCGAGTTCATTGTACCAGTATCCAATGACGAATGCCTTTTTAAATTTACCTGATGATTTCCAGTTGTGTCGAGAATGCCTGCGGCACCGGATGCATAGTTGACACTGTTGAGAATGTTCTTTCCTTCAAATTCGGCGAAAGAAGGCATATAATCTTCGAACCCCAAACGCTTAACTTCAAAATAAAACATTTATACCGAAACATCGATAAACAATCATAAAAACAAATTTGAGAACGTAACGAGATAGAGAAGAGAGAAGGTCATACCAATAAAATCATGCATGGTTCGGCCATCGGTAAACCTTCCGGTCGGTCCTCGGGGAAAATCAATCCCGTAAGGTGGATAGTTTACTTTGCCCGACGTCGCGAGTTTATTATTGTTCCCGGTATCCGATAACGAGTCCCCGAATATAAAGTAACATGGCACTTGGGGAATCGCATAAGCCCGATTTTGCAAGCTCAACAAATCTGAATGCATCGACAAACGAATCATAAAAGAGGATTAAGCTATTAAAAGACCATCGAGTACCGCAAATTAGAGCCAAGCATCGTAAGAAACTATTCACGAATGCAAAATCATCTATCCGAATTCAATCCGAGAGTTCTAAGTAGGGAAGATCAACAGGATTATAAATAAGCACTATTTTTACCAGTCTTGGTGTCGTCAAATTCAACCTTGAAAAAATATGAAATAAAAAGAACGGTCAAACGACCGTGAAAGAAGAGTAAATGCTCTTAATTAGTTTTTACAAGTATGCCTCATTTTAGCTATTGAAAGTCTTATTATGCTAGGTAAAATTATCCAAAATTAGTTTATGTAATATTGTGAGAAATTCCATTTTCAGCTATAATAATAAATACAATTTAAAGATAGATTTTATTAATAAATACAATTAAAGAGAAGATTTAGTATTTACCACTAAACTCCAAACAATATTATTTTCCTCATTTAGGTCCACAATTCTTTTTTCCCATATAAAATGATCTTCTACCAGCACAATTAAAAACAAAAGGAACTAAAAAATCCAGAAAAATGACAAAATTCTCCCAAATATTTTATATTCTTGTCATCCTTCTACTCTCCTCACGTATTAGATTATAGTTTATTTTTTAATCTAAAATTTGATATTAATGTAAATTTTATATATTTTTTTGCTTTGTGAAAAATAGTCCGAACGAGTTTTTCGGAATACGAAGAAGAAATGGTGATTTGCGACGAAAACTGTGGTTCGAGATGTAAAATTTCAAGGAAAGGAAATGGAGTATGCAAGAAGTCGTCGCCGAATGAGGTAGAAACATGCAAATGCTTATACGATGATGGTAACGGCGACGGTGACGGAAATCTGCCGCCGAAACCCAAAAAATGCAGCGCGGCAATCAGACCGTGCAGCGAGCGTTGCAATGAAGTGTGCTGTAACCAAAATTGTGAGGCGAAATACCCACACCCTATGGATGGCTATAGCGTTTGTGGTTAGGGATATTTTGAATATGCCTCCTGTCCATTCTAAGATTCCTAAAATTGCATTCATGTTCTTAACTCCAGGATCACTGCCATTCGAGAAGCTTTGGGATATGTTCTTCCGTGTGAGTTATTTCTTTTTCGGCTGTCTGCTCGTTACTCCTTTCTATCATCTTCATATTCTTCGTGGACTCGTTTTATTCCATTAAATTTCATGATTATTATTCTTGAAGTTGGTTTCCATGAGCTGATATATCGGGAAGAAATCCGTTCAAGCCTTCAAGGCTTGCTCCTACATATCAGGGTTGGATAGATCATACCCAAAATCTACAATGTAATAGATATTTACTAGAAAGAAATGTCATATTTATAGGTGGCCTGAAAGTACCCTGCCTGTTTCATGTTTTTTTCCCAAGTGCGCTGGTCCGAGAGAACTTTCTACGGAAATTTCATATTTACTGGTCAGTAACACACGTGGACTGGTCCGAGAGAAAATGGCACCCGAAATCATATAGGGCTCAGGATGTTACCGACGAGCTTCTACGGAATATTACGGTACGCATGCTCATGTCTTTGTTCTTGATGCTAAGGAAGTAACAGTTGTTCTTGGAAAGCACAACTCACCACCTTGTCGTTTAACGGATACGCCGAAAATGGGTGGTTCCTGTCGCATAATAAGTTTATGTTCTGACAAATACCGGTGTCTATTTTCGCAGTCGCTCGACCAGGAGACCCACATAACAAGTAATGGTAAGGTATGCATTTCCACATGCCTTTTCTTGTGCTTTTCGGGATATAGTGTTTACATCTTGTTGCAGGGTGATGAGCTGCTACAGCCTTGCCTATGGAACGGTATTAGACAACCGTGTTTCCTGTTTGCAAGGAAATTCTATCCGGAAACCTCGGTTTTACATCGGTGTCACGGGGCTAGAGTTTCGTCTAGCGATCGGTTGCATCATTGGAGACGGGTAATTTAGTGTCCGTTTCCCCCCATTTGTACCATTAGTACATTTTATCATATATGTGAAAGAACATTGGGGGATTCATGTGTAAAAGTTGCAAAACATGATGCACTCTTTTCTGTATTTATCATTTACTTGGACCCGGCAAGAAGCATGCACGGTTGAGTGGTATTGTTCCGGTTCATTTGAGTCCACTCTAAAAAATTCTAAATAAAATTTGAATGATAAAATATGACCCGTTAATTCAACTAAATCAAGATTTTTTAACTCGATTTAATCGAGTATTCACCTCTAATTCCTCTTGCATTTTAAGATTAATTTTTATCAAATTTGAATCGCAAGCTCCTCTACCACTATTAAATATTTATGTAATTTAAATTCCTATTTTCAACAATAAATATACTCCTTTCGTATTTTAGTCCCTCGACTTTATATTTTATTCAATCTGAATTTTTTACTGTAATTTTTGTATAATTTTTTTTACCTATCAATTTCTTGATTCCTTTATATCTCCACCGATACTTTCTTCAAAATATTTGTTTTAAAAAATAAAATTGTAATATATTTATAATTTTAGATGGTATTTGATTTATTGAATAATGTTACAATGCGAAAAAAGAATATAAGAAAAATATCTTATATGATTAGATAATGTCTTTAACTTGATCCAATCCACATTATAACATTCAAATATTTATAATTTTATTTAAATAAAAACTCAAAACTTGGACTCGATTCGAATTTCATAAACTGAATTTGATTCAAAAAGAATTAAATAAAATTTGAATCACAAAAGAATACTCATCAACTCAACTAACTCGAAATTTTTTGATTCGGTTCAATCGAATTCCCATCCCTAATTTTTAAGTTGGAAAATGCATATCTTTAACTGAATGACACCAGCGAACAATGAAGAAAAATTGCAATACATTTTTCGTAGAAAATAACTGATGTTTTTTTTTCTTGAAATTTAGCTAAATAAATTTCACTTACGAAACTTCAATTATGCATGTGAGCGACCATTCGATAACAAATTTGTTTATTTATTAAACGAACAAACATGAATAAGATTTTATGTTCGTTTAATTAAATAAATAAACACAAACAAAAGACTCTTTCGTTCATTTATGTTTGTGAACGTTCAATAATTCGTTCGTTTATGTTTATTTATTTTCTCCATACTCGTTCGAAATATAAAGACTTAATAAATTTTAACCTTAAACCCATTAATATTTTTAAACTCGATTAATTTTAAAAAAAAAGTACTCAAATCAATTAAAGAAAATATAAATCCTAAAATTATTTGAAAAGAAAAAACTCTTCTCAAATATAACCCAATTAATTTTATGTTCGTTTGTTTACGTTCGTTCATTTGTGTTTGTTTATCATTTAAATGAACGAACACGAACAAGCTAAATTTCTTAATGAATGAACACGAACAATAAATTTGTTCGTTTAGTTGTTTGTGTTCGTTCGATTAAAGTTAAACGAACGAACATGATTACATCATTGTTCATGCTCGTTCTCGATCCAAGAAAACAGTAAAAGGAAGCATTATTTTTACGGAATTAGCAATGAAATTAGTAGCAAAACTTATAGAAGGAAGATGCTATAATTAAAGAAAATATAAATACTAAAATTATTTGAAAAGAAAAAACTCTTCTCAAATATAACCCAATTAATTTTATGTTCGTTTGTTTACGTTCGTTCATTTGTGTTTATTTATCATTTAAATGAACGAACACGAACAATCTAAATTTCTTAATGAATGAACACGAACAAGAAATTTGTTCGTTTAGTTGTTTGTGTTCGTTCGATTAAAGTTAAACGAATGAACATGAATACATCCTTGTTCATGCTCGTTCTCGATCCAAGAAAACAGTAAAAGGAAGCATTATTTTTACTGAATTAGCAATGAAATTAGTAGCAAAACTTATAGAAGATGCTATAGCATTTTACCATATACAAACTATTCCACGTCTATATTTCAGACATATATCGCACCTTATTAACCCACAAATTACAAAGAATAACAATACAGGCCATATCCATCTACAATTACTACAATACAATTAACCAATCACAATCCCGAATCGTATCGAAATCAGAATTTTTTTTTAAAACCATTGAACCGAAAACCATACAGTTCAGTGCTTGTGATTGAATAATTGCAAGGGTGTAGTAACCTGAAACATTGCAGATGAAATGCTCCCCTAGTTATACAGCCATAAAACATTGATGTTTGCTTACCGATTTAATCTATCGCCAGTGTCCCAGAGCCACCACCGGTATAACCACCTTGTGTCCTCTGCTGCCTTTCATGGTGATCGATCCAAAGCAGTAGCTTCCGGTTAATGACCGAGCGGTAAGGGTTACGGAGAACTTTCTTGATGCACCTGGTCTCAGAGTCATGGCCGAAGGCCTGGTTTCGATGGCAATGGATGGATGCATTCTGGCTGTGATGACATAGGTTTCTTCCCCGGCGACATTTGTTACGGTACGAGTGACGGTTTGAGTTCCAACTAGGTGGGAGATTGTGATTGATGGGGTATTGAAATTCGAGGGGCGGCCCATGGTGGTATTGCAGGGGGTGTTTGTGTACTTCCTTATCTCATGAATGTCGATTCCAGGTGTTGTGCATAAGAATCCCAGATAATCCTCATAACCTACAAAAAGCGAGAGGAAAACAAATAAAGAATCCAAATGATTTTGCAAAGCTACAATGCACCTACTTAGATGTTAGATTATATGCTATGCTATTTATTTTGAAGAAAAATAAATATATAACATAATCTGTAGAATGACCGGCATTGTCCCGAAATCTGCCGTAGGATTGGGTCGAAGGAACTCGGAGCCTTGAAGCCGCAATGGGGCTGGAGGACCAATGCCACTCTTTCACTTGATGGGGTAGCTTAGCTATACTTTAGGCTAATAGAAATTTTAATATTGTGTTCATATTTATATATTTATTTTTGAAGGTGTTTGTATTTATTTGTTTAACATTTATAAATATATTTATTTAGCATCAAAAAAAATATATATAACATATATATAATCGGCTTTTTAGTGATTCAATCCATTCTCTATCCGGTTTTACCAGTTGAATATATACATAGTCAGAGCCCATTTAGACCATCCTCTTTCCTAGGTAAGAATACCTGCAGGGTAAAATTACAAAGCAAAAGCAAGAATACCTGCATCAAAGATGAGTCCAGGGTCCAAAGCAGCTCTTGGATCGACATGACCACTCCCATAATCAAAAGGAGTGGCACTGACAAGTTTCAATGCCTCTGTTTCGGAATATTGCTGTGCTTGAAGAGGCCTCCCTCCTCTGTCGAGCTTTGTTGTTGTAGTCATCAAGGCTGATTTTATCGCAGCAGGGCTCCAATGAGGGTGTTTCTGCTTCAAAAGAGCAGCTATCCCAGCTATATGGGGTGCAGCCATACTGGTTCCGGATATCAAAGCAAATCCCTCTCCTGCTCGAATTACGGAATTGATTAAGATTTGAAAATTTCCATCAGTAGAAGCATGATGCTATCTTCTCTTCCTCTAACATGTGAGAATTTTCTAAAAGAAATGGTTGAGACTACGAGGAAGAGAAACAAAATATAAAAACCAAGCACATCTTTACCAACGAAATTTGGCTCGTCTGTTCCATTCGGAGACCAAGCAGCCCAAATTAGAGAACCAGGTGCCAAAATGTCAGGCTTGAGAAGATCAGCATCTTGAAAGTTGAAATCTTTGATGTTGGGCCCTCGAGCAGAAAATAGTGCAACCTCTGGAGCAGATTTATGGAGAATTGGCATCAAACCATCCCCAATACTACCAACAGCTTTGAAGCCCTTGACTCGTCCAGTCCAGTCTCTTGGTGTAGAAACATTATAGTAGTCAATAAGATCCTACAAAAGAAGATTTCCAAGAGACAAATCAGAAAATTTTGCCTTATCGAGTTAAAAAAAAGTTTAATCAAATTCTATCAAGCAAATGAGAGCATGTTGCAGATTATGGCCCAGTGAGAAGGCTATCAGCTTAAATAATCATATCAAAAGAATATCTAATAAGAGCAAGGAGAAGCACCATTGTCTTCGAGACATCAGTGATAAGGATTCCGGGTATACTGACGGGAACAGGATCAAACTTAGTTCCGGGAGAAACATTTTCCACTGCAAGAACAAAACCAACTGCACCAAGAGACTTGGCTGTTTCAGAGACTTTCTTAATTGATGCAGTGCCGACAACAAAGTTGAAGGAATAGCCACAAAGAAGAATTTTCCCCTCAACTAGTTTCCTGTTTAAAACTTCTGGCCTTTGGCAGTCGGAGGGACTATACTTCGATACGGAGGAATCCAATAACACATCATTAGCAGCAACCATGGTGTAGGTTAGATTTGGATGTGTAGAAGCTGCCAGAATCCATAAGTTACACACTTCAGCTTCAAAGAACACAGATTTATCCAAAGAAACTAAAAGGATTGGGGAATAGGCAAGTCAACAACCATGCTGATAACAAGACTAATGTCCCATTCCATTATCATGTGCAATTAAAAAAACCAGGCATTTGATAGAACTTGGAGATGGGATTACGCACCATATATTGGAGGAAAGTTTAAACCCTGAATTTTATTCCAAAGCTAACTTCAAACACGAAGCAAAAAAAATTGTAGTAGAATAAAATTTTATTGTACGAAATTTTCAATTCTGATTGCTTAATCTGAATTTCGAACTAAATCTTCTTCGCTAGAAAATTTTATTGCACCACAATACACAACATAAAATCGAAAATCTTAAAGGATGATTGTTTTGTTAAATCAGATCAGCGAAAATTCAAGCAGAGAAGTTTAGCCTTAATGATCTATAAATATATGCACAGTTTTCCACAAATGCCGAAGGCATTATGCCATTAGCTAAACTGAATCGTTAACTAGAAAAAGGAACGTCCAAGGTGTTTGAATCCCTATCCTTGATAGATTAACAAAATATGAATCTCATGAGTAGATCCCAAATCATTTTCATCTACTGTTACTGAAAAACATTCTCAAAAGGTTAAATGCATATTTCCACTTTTTTCCTGTAGGCTACCAGAGCAGAACAAAAGAATTACCGAAGTTGAGGTAACTTACGGGACAACCCAATTCCAGCTAAAATTTTTCCATTTCCCAAGGTTAGATGGTTTTTGTATCTACGATCATCAATTGCTGCTGCAACAGATGTTATCCATGGGCTATAAGAAACCAAAGTTTTAGGGAAAGGACCTCCATTTCCAGCTGCTTGTGCTACAAAAACACCAGCTTTGACAGCTGCCAGAAGTGTAGCATCGAAAGGATTTAAAAATGTTGTCTTCGTGGTTGTTGGCGGACTATTCGGTCCCACTGAGAGACTAAGAATATCAACACCATCATGAACAGCCTGTTCATTAAAGTAGTCAAATCACAAGTTTTTGACAAATACAAAGTAAAAGAGTGTACAACTGATTGGTAAATAGGCAACTTTCAGAATCCCATTGACAGCAGAAAATATAGCTTTTCATTTTTTTCAGGCTTATCACGAAAAAAACGCAATTTTACTCTATTTTCCCTTCCCTTGCTTCATTTTAAACGTCAAAAATTCAATTAAAACAACAAAAACAGATTCACTCATTTTTCTTGACAAAGGAAGATGTCAGTCATCAACATATCCAATTCTAAGATAATCATCAAAGTATTAGTACATGCCTTGGTCAACTACCTTTTTACTACAACAAAAGTTATCTTTTCATTTTGATTTTGCAGCAACAACAATTGAAACATTTTAGTTTTATTTTTAATTTTATCTTGATTATGTTTTATTGATTCTTCAATATTTTAGAAGGTAGATTTGTCTCATATTTGTATAATTACTCTCGATTATTAGAATAATATCATCATTCCTCCTACATTTTCAGCACCTTTGCAGAGAAGTGTTCTTTATACAAAAACATATCCAAGCCTTGTCTCAATTGTTAGCAAGACGAGACACATATAAGACAATAGCCAGGAAGATCTGTTATCTGGTTACCTAGAGTCCCAAATATTAGGTGAAAAGGGAAAATAGTACTTAAAACAATGTTGAATTTGTATCCAGGCAAAAACTAAGCTCAAAACAGATATAAGACAATTGAATTTGTCTCAAATGTTAGCAAGACGAGACACATATAAGACAATAGCCAGGAAGATCTGATATCTGGTTACCTAGAGTCCCAAATATTAGGTGAAAAGGGAAAATAGTACTTAAAACAATGTTGAATTTGTATCCAGGCAAAAACTAAGCTCAAAACAGATATAAGACAATTGAATTTGTCTCAAATGTTAGCAAGACGAGACACATATAAGACAATAGCCAGGAAGATCTGATATCTGGTTACCTAGAGTCCCAAATATTAGGTGAAAAGGGAAAATAGTACTTAAAACAATGTTGAATTTGTATCCAGGCAAAAACTAAGCTCAAAACAGATGGGAAGACATGTAAACTTAGCAGTAGTTTTAAATTAACAAAAATAGGAATCATAAAAATAAATATCCCAAGTAAAAATTGTAGCACACCTGGTCAATTGCAGCTACCACATCAGCTACAAAGCCTCCAAAAAGCCTGTATAGTGCCTTGTAGACAGCAACCCTGAAACAAAATAAAAATGCCAAATTCCATATCAAAGCAAATAAAACAGCTTTAATTGCATTTAATCTAGGTTGATATAAGAAATCCCCACCTGGCACGAGGAGCCATTCCACTTGCTTTTCCAAATTCATGGCCATTCACTCTCACAGGAATACCATTATTCCCAGCTGCAATAGCTGCTGTATGACTGGTAACAAGTGACATAAAAAAATAAGGGGAACTTGTTAGAATTAAATAATATATACTAAAAAATTTCTCACTCGATACTTGTAATTTTATATAAAAATCTTAAATCAATGGCTAATCTCTTGCAAAGTGAGAAGAATAGAAGCTCTAAAAAGAAAAGTTTTATGCTGCTTAGTTTTGCCCAGAAATGCTGCAAGAAATTAGAGGTAGTCACCTCATTTTATGCCCACCGAACATATTTTTTTACAGTTTAAGATTATATATCACCCTCTTCCCAGCACTTTCCTTCTCACGATGTAAAAAGCATATAATAGTTAAACCTCTCTCAAAGGTATAATTGTTAAAGACAAGGTAGCATACTGTTTCCGATTCTAAACATAACTGCAACTTAGTATGGCAACTAACCTGCCATGTCCATCACCATCCAAGGGAGAGGCAAAATCAATAGCAGGATTAAAGGCACCAGCTGCTTTTGCAGCTTCAGCAAAATGTTGGGCTCCAATGATCTTGCCATTACAGAAGTTTCTCTTGGTATCAGGATCAATTTCACATTTTCCTCTGTACTTCGGAACAGGCCCATAGGGGTTAGTATGATGGCTTGCAAAGCTTGGATGATGTGGATAGATTCCCGAGTCTACAAATCCTAAAACGATGTCCTCTCCTGCCCTTTCACAGCCACCTCCTAGTGGCCATACACCAGTTGGGAGCCCCAGAAATTGTGGAGTATGCGTTGTAAGTCTCCTCACCTTCCAATCTCTCTCCACAGACTTTACACCTGGAGCACGTCTAAGAGTTTCTGCCTACTATGTATTGTCAAAGTGTAAGGAATGAGAATGAAAGAGATTGGATTCTAGAAAATGCAAGTTATTCAGCTAAAAATTATTTCAATGCAAAATCACATTGCGTAGTAGCTAAAATTTTGTTTCACCTGTTCGGGGGAAAGGTGAACTGAAAAGCCGTTTATCAGATGTTTATAACTGTAGAGTTTCTTGTAACTCCCATGCTCAAACAACATACCAAGAAGCATATCATGTTTCTTTTCCAGATGACTAGCATAGGATGTTACTAATTCACTGAAACAACAACCAAAGAGAACAGCAGATAATTAGCAAAGCAAGCATTGGAACATTTTGATCAACTAAGAGATTGATTGTGCTTGTCCATTTAATTGAGTGAGAGAAATAAGTCAAAATCATTCATGTCAAGGCAGTAAGTAATATAGAAAAAGACTTTGCAATAGTAGAATGAACCACATCATTGTGTAACATAAGAGATTTCATTAATCGCATACTTAAGCAGGGATAAAATTTGCTCAAGTTCGAAATTAATGGTTCAAAGCATAGAATTATAAGGTTGTCCCTGAAGATAAACCCAATAATATAAGGTAGCAGTAATGCAAAAATAGGAGATGAACATGGATTGGTTTCTTTTCTAAGGCTTCACACCAACTCTCCTCAACATGTGCAAGAAAATAGAACAGAATTTCAAGCTTCACATTTAATTCGCTCCTCTCTTATTTAAAAAATACCTTCACCTTTATTTTAAATTCCCCTTCAATTAATAACAACTCCCTAACTTTGTTTTATTTCTGTAGCAGGTTTTCACACAAGAGTAAGCTTGCATCACTTCGATAATAATCATTATTCAACAGAAAAACAGGATTAAATCATCATCAAAATTTACAGTAAAAATATTGAAAATATTCCATTAAGAATTTAGAACAATAAGCAAACAGAGTAGCCGCACTGGGGTCAAGGTTTTAAGAAAATTTGAAAGGAAAAAAATAGTATTGAACATATGCTCACGCTTGTACAATATCCATGTTCAATACATATGAGCATATGAAAAGAATCTCAAAAATTAAATATCTATTCATATTGAGAACCTATTCATATTCAATATTCGCTTTTAAACTCAAATAATAAAAAATAATAGTACATACTAACAAAGTCGAATCTAATTCATAGTAATATTTTAGGCCCAAAAAATGTGCATATATCATTCAAATACGTCAACTGCTCAGGATATCAAACAAGTCAAGACCCTACAGCAGAATCTGACAAAAATTATTACAAAAAAACAATAGCGAATCATCAAATATATATATATATATAAAATAGCAAAAAAAAATTTACCTTGCAGTGTCAAGCTTCTCATCTGACTCCACAGCCGTAGCTTCAAACCCATTTTCACCACCTCTGTAGCTAATGATAGGTTCTCCTTCAACTGTCACTATGTAAACATTTGCTTTCCCACTACCCACAAGTCCCAATAGCACCACCAGGACAATCCACCCAAGCTCCACCGCCTTCATTTTTCTCGCTTACAAGATCTGCTTCGTATTAAAAGTAGTAGTTCAAGAAAAATTATAGGCCTCTTTTTTTTTTCCTGCTTTCAAAGCCGATCTTAAACAGCAATTACTTACTTTTTTGCTTCTTAAAAAGGCAAAAAAAAAACTGCAGTTGTTATACGTAAGGATAAAGACTTCAGAAAAAACGACTATTTGATATTTACATTTATAGTAGGAAAAATAAATTAACTAATTTGGACTCAGATCTTTCCTGCTAAAATTAAACTTACCCCAACGGAGATTAGATTTAGTTGGCATTTATTAAGCTCATTTCAGCTACTTAAATAAACTTTTATTTTTTTCTTTAAAAAAAACAGCACTTAAATCAGTAAAAATATAAGGGAAAAATATTAAAATAACGAAAATATTACCTAGAAGAGACACTAAAAACCCTGATCCAATTCAGCCGGAAGCTTGCGTTTCTTAGTCTTACATTTAACGTCAACCTGCGTCAACGTCCTTTTAACTACGATCCAAACAAAGAATAGTTACGAAAATGAGAGGCAAAAAAAGCAAGAAAAAACATAATCTTCGTAAGCGGTTTCGGTGGTAAAGAAGATCGCAGCGACAAATAAAAGGAGAAGGAAAATTTAGACTTACGCAAGTAATAAAGAGGGGAATCGAGGAAGCTTTTAGAAGACGATTTCAATCAAAGCAACAAAAAGGGGAAAAGTGAAAAAACAGAGGAGAAAATGATTGGATCACAGAGAGAGAAAGAGAGAATGAAGTTATTCACATCTGCAGAGATTTTGAGGAGTTCATAAAGAGACCTTTAATCATTCAAACCGAACAAAGAAAATTAGGGAAAATTGCTGGGAAAATGAGAGATCTAAGCAATGGAGAGAGTAAATTCTCTGTAGATTTACTAGCAGTCTGAGCAGTGAAGAAGAACAGAGATTAAGTGCGAGTGTGAGAGGTAGGTAGTTTTGTTTTTATTTTTTAATATATATATATTGCTTTTAAAAAGTTAAATGAATATTAATTATTAATTGTAATTTCGATATTTCACTTAAATAAATCACTTTTTTAAAAGCTTTAAATACAAAATATTATTTTTTTTATACACATGAAAAAAAACAGAAAACTAATATCTTAAATCCCCGCTCCATTCTTATTTGCTTTTAATGGTTCCTGCAAATCAGTTGAAGGCATCTGCAATATAGACAATTCATTATCTTATCGTAAAGTCAGGTTTACCAATTCATCAGCACATTTATTTCTTTCGCGTTAAATATGTCGTACTTCTACCACAGTACCACCCATCCTTCTTTAAGGATGCTTATGCCTGCGTTGCAGACATGATTTTTATGAATAAGTCTCTTAACAGGGATTTTCTACATACACAATGACTCAAACTCAAGATCTTACTTAAGCGATATCAAGTTGTTTACCACTTAAATCAATTTATGTTGATCATGTTTACTTTTAATTTAGATTAATGGTAACAAGTTTATTTTATCAAATTTTGTCAGTTTATTTTTTTCAATTTAAATAAAGAGTTACGATAGTTAAAATAATAATTGTCGATCGACGCTCTTTTATAAGATAAAGGGAAAAAAGATAATATAAAAAAATTGTTTTGGTCAGAAAAGTGTGAGGATGAGATACTTCATTCTTTAGTTGTGGTTGATAGGTATTTCTGTTGATTTTAATTAATGATGTCAAATATTAGGTCGTTATGACTACTCGTAGATTAATAGATTAAATAAATATAATTTTAGATATTAAGTTTTTCTCTGATAGCTCACGTGAGTTTATCAAATGTCTTGTTTAGAAATTGTAATTGGCTCGGAGGCCATGATACTAATATTGTTAGATAATATTGATCCCTTGAAAACTCTGAGTAAGTAAAGAAGTCTATTCAAAGGTCTCAACTAATAGTGAATTGATTAATCTGGATCGAGTGTTGCAGTGTCAAAATTGTCCTAACTCTGTTTGTTCTATTTGCAATCGTCATGATTCAAATCTCTGACTTTGTTTATGAAATTTAGCACACCATCCCATTAGACTAACTGTAAAATTTAAATCTTTGACCTCAATTAAGGAATCTAAAACCTCATCCCATTAGACTAACTGCGAGATTCAAATCTATGACCTCGGTTAAAGAATCTAGTATCTCATCCTATTACATCAACTTATTGTTAGTATTTTTGTTTGCTCTTGAGTTTTGCTTGCTTAAATTTTTTTATTGTTTTCTCATATGATTTGTTATGTGTTTTCATAAATAATAGTGAAATTGAAATTTATTGATGGAATAACGAATAAATTTAAAATGTAGTGATTTTTCTGAATTTTCATTTTAATAAATAATATATTAGAAATATATAATATATTATAATTATTATTGATGAATTAATGAAATTGCCTTTTAGTAGTAGTTCTTGTTTTCATCTTATCTTTAATTATTGCGTGAGAGAGAAATTCGCGCGCAAGCTGTCGGGCTGATTGTTCCGTTGAAATGACTTTATTACCCTAAAAATTATGTTGTGAGAAGGAAGGGTATAATTCCCATATCAGCCCTTCCACATGCTAAAATATGATATTTTAACTCCTCAATTTTAATTGCATACTATTTGGTCTCTCCACTTCTATGATCGTAGTAATAGATTCAAATCGATAACACCGTTAGTTTCTTACATTTAAGTAATAACGTGAGTTTTTTCTTTTAATCTCGTCTTATAGTTAGGGTCAAATTAAAATTCATTTAATCATGTCTGTCAGCACGAACCAAGTGACCTCCGTAGTAAATGAATTATTGTTATTCCTTAAGGACTCGAGTTTGAGTGCCAAAGATGTCAGAGTTGTGAGTGTTCAATGTCAAAAGATTTAGAGTTATACAATAACAAATATTGCCTTATACCTATTGTAGATTAATAAAAAAAATCATATTATGTCAAATCAAAGGAAAGTGGTCAAATTTTAAATTTTAATATAACGAGGGGTAAAAACCACAATTAAACCTTTGAATGGATAGTTGATAAGGGAGCAGCATGGCAGTGGACCGAACGGATGGATACAACTACTAATATTTAATTTAATACACAGTTTACCCATGAAGTATTAAACTTTTCCCACTTTGCCCCTTAACATTTTCCCCATTTTGTCCCTTACAATTTTTATTCGTTGCATATTTAACCTTGGACTTTAACGAACTTTAAAAAGTATTTAGGGTATTAATCTAATTCATAACCCTTGAAACCCTCGAAGTTGTTTAGAGTATTCATCGTAACTTCTAACCCTCGAAGCTCGTTAACTGTTTTGACTAAAATAATTGTGAGTCTTCTCTATATGTGAATTAAAAGATTAAGTTAAAATATGTATTAAACACAATAATTAGAATGATTTTTTCAAAATTTTATTATTTATTTCAATTAGATTAATAGATTGAGTCAAATTTTTAAGAATTTTTTCTAACAATTTTATTTAGTAAATATTTTATTATTTATTTTTTAATACATGTCACATCATGATCAAACAACGTCAGTAATATTAAATGATTTGAAAATTATTTGTGTTGATAAACGCACAAAATTAATAGTTTTGCTAGTTAAAACAAATTTCGAGAGCTATAATGAATATCTTAAATAAATTTGAGGTTTAAATTGATAAAAAAATTACATGAGTGAAATTGATAAATTTAATTTATTATAGAGGTGAAAGTGACCTTAAACCACGATTTTATAATAATATTTTTTATATCTTTCCCTAACACGTGACATTATACTTTTCATTAAAGAAAGAAAGGGTGAAAACCCATCACATGTTACTTGGTTATTGATAAAATTATAATAGGTCATTGAATTTTAAAAAAGTTACAAACATGTCATTTAATTAATCGATTTGTTATAAACATGTCATTGTATTGTTATAAATAAACAAACATTAACTTTTTAATTACAATCACATCGCTCAATTTGTTAATTGTAAAAATCAAACCATTTAATCAATTAATTGTTACAATTATGTCATTCATTTGTTACTAGAAGATTTCTTACACAATTCAAGAAAGATTGAATTGTTTGTAATAGGGGTGAATAAAACTCAACTCGACTCAAACAAATTGATTTCGAGTTATTCGAGTCGAATTATTAAATTCAACTCGAATTATCAATTCGGTTCTCGAGTTCAAGTCGAGTTGAACCGCATTCATCTTTCTTTTTTTGATAATTTCCTTAATTTTTCAATTTATCTTTTTTTAAGTCTATTTTTTTACCAAGTTTGAACCGCATTCTCATATTTCACTATAGAATACCTTGTAACTTTGTTTTTTTTTTACTACAAATGTACTTTCTTTTTTATTTATATCTTTAACATTGCATTTTACTCAATGTGGTATTATGATTGTGATTGTTTGCAAATTTTTCCTTCCCATCGATTCCATGATTTTTTATACACTCATCAATATTTTACTCTTAAAATAAAGAAAAATATAATATTGTGAATATATTTTATAATGTTATATTGTATTTGATATATTAAATAACATTATAATGTGAAAAGAATATGGAATATATATATATATATATCTTATATAGTCAGAGAAAGTTGAAAAATTAGAACCAATTCTGATCATAATACTATAAATAATTATAATAAAATGAACATAGAAACTAGAATAACTCGAGTAAAATTTCTTAAACTTGACTCGACTCGAAAAGATTTCGAGTTAAGTTCGAATTGTGAGATACGACTCATCAACTCGAATAATTCGAATTTTTTTTACTTGACTCGACTCGATCGAATGCTCACCCTTAATTGTAACGGTCAAATAATTTACTCCTAATAAATTCGAGTTGTGAAATATGAGTCGAATAACTTTTTGAAATTGATTACATATTCAAAGATGGCTTTCGGAGACTTTCCACCCACTAGAACCTCCTATTAACAAAGGGTGTGATTTACCGTAAAAGATGTTAAGATTTTTTTTTAAAAATGAAAAGGAAGATGAAAAATTCAACGCTGAGGGAGTAAATGTAGAAAAATTGAATAAATGAACCGTGTTAAGGTCAATATGTCCTCACGTGAATAAATCGATTGTCCAACTTCTCCTAATTAAACATATATAACACTAGCTTTGCCAGTTGGCGGGAAAATATATAATATATATAAACAAAAATTACTGAATTTATTAAATTTAATATTATATTATTTCCATTAAAAATGTTATTTATTTATTTTTTAAAATTCAAAATTTTATCAGGTAACTGAGTAATGTTCAAACATCTTTAATTCTTTAAATAATTAATTTTTATCCCCACACTTTTTTTCAGCATTTATTTTTTGCTATTTTTGTTATAGAAAAATCAATATATATATATACTTAATTATCTGTTTTTATTTTTAATATATATATATATATATAAGTAAATGTAACAATATATAATATTTTACTAAAAAATTAAAATAAATTTTAGACAAATAAGAGACGACTAAGAGGAAATGAAGGCATACGTGGCCGCATGCATCAGCCGTTTGTGTGCTGAGATTCCGCACACCGATGTCTTGGATTTCCTAAAGGCAGAGTTGTTGTTTTCACGTGTTGGCAACTCTAACCCCTCAAACAATAGGTGAAAATAGATCGGCTTTGAGCCTATACATTTTATTAATGTTTATTTATTTACTTATTTTAAATAAAGATAAAGTACCCAAATGATCTTTCATTAGGTTTTTTTTACTATTATAAGTTACAAAATAGTTCTATAACTATATATATTATTTTTTTGAGTCATCCGACTATCAAATTATCATATTTTATCATATCACAGTTTGATAGTTAACGTTCAGCTCAGACTACCGTTTGTAGCTTTGGATATTTGAGGGATTCAACAAAACAACAATCTATAATTTAATGATCATTTTATAACTTTTAATA